CTAAGGTGACCAGATTTAAAGCGGGACACCATTGACCGGGGGGGTAGGGTGGTGTGTTCTTGATTAAAAATTTGGTCTATATGGACCAAATAGATGGATCTCTAGCTTGTCGTGCATTCTTTCCCCCAAACCACCAAAAACTGGGACTGTCCTGCCAAAAGCGGGACATCTGGTCACCTTCGCCTAGACTTGAGGCTGTGAGGCTGGTGTTGGGTTGGTCCGTGAAGGGACATCATTCGCTGTCCAGCACTCAGACACCACTCTGGGAGTCAAGCCATCTCTGTGTCCCTCTCAAGGACCCAATGTTGGGCTGGATGGACAAACCAGGAACCTGGCAAACTCAGGGCACTGGGGTCCTGGAGCCTGACAGGCACCGAGAAGACAGGCTACGCCTCAGTTTCCCTCTCCCTCCAGGTCCTCTCCCTTCCCTTCCACCCCTTGCTTAACATCCCCTCTTCCTTCAGCTGAGGGAGGGTTCTGGGCTGTTTGTGTATTCAGCACGGAATTAATGAGCACAAATGGGGGCAGAGACACAAAACAGATGAAGTCCAGGCGCCAAAGGCCATCCACTGGGAGGACAGTAAGGCAGCGTCCCGGGCAGGAAGAAGAGCGTGCAGTCCCATGCCCAGCTGCACTCCCTAACGGGCTACTAACCTGCTAACCAGAGCGCTCTTGGGTAATTTCCTTAATCTCACTTTCTTCATCAGCAACTATGGATAAATGCCCACTTTACACCCTGGGGTGAAGATTAACTGAGACAACCCTTTGTAAAGACTGGAGGAAAGTGTCTGGTTCCCGGTAAAGGTTCAATAAATGTTCATTTCTATTTTTAGCATCAGTTATTCCCAGTGGCCAAGTTGGGTACACGTTGAGCTGCTAACCACAAGGTCAGCAGTTTGACCCACTAGCTGCTCTTTGGGAAAAAAGATGAAGCCTTCTATTCCCCTAAAGCGTTAGTCTCGAAAACTCACAGGCGCAGCCCTACGCTGTCCTACAGGGTGATAGGAATCGGAACGACTCGATGGCAGTGAAGTTGGTTTGGGTGGGCTTTTTGGTTGCTTGGTTGTCATTCCTGGAAGTCAGAGGACTTGAATGAGAGCGCCTTTTTAACTGGGTGAGGCTGAGATGGTTCCCAAGGAAGGCCACCTTCGGTCTGCCAGAAATGGTCCAGCAGGGTTGGAACCCGGTGGGGACAGGCAGGGGAGTCTGGCAGCGGCACCAAGGGGCAGTGCCGCGGCTCTGGGCTCCAGGGCCGAGGGCGAGGGCCGGCCGCGGAGCCCAGGCCTTCCTGTGGGCAGAGGGAACCAGCGCGAGACGAGGAGCAGGTGGAGCGCAGGATCAAAGCGCTCGGAGGCAGGCGGGGCGCACCGAGGGAGGCTGGCTACTTGCATCAGCGCGGATCCGTGAGGCTCCGCAGACGTCTCCCGGCGGCTGGCTTTACGGGAACCCACAAGAAAGGAAAGGACTGGGGGAGCGCGCAGGGCGGGAGTAGGCGGGGGTGCGCTCCTCCTCCCGTCCGCCCGCCCGCGCGCTCCTGGCGGCGCCTGCCCAGGCCTGGGCGCGCCCGGAGCGGCAGGGGCCACGAAGATAGCTCTGCTCCGCTCCCCTCCCTACTTCCCCCCCTTTCTCTTGCTTTACTGGAAGGACTGTGAGAGAGAGACCCAGAAGCACCCACATTTTTCGAGTGCGAGGTGGGGGAGGGCAGGGCAGCCGCTGCCTCTCAAAGGAAAACCCAAAGTGCGTCCCTTGGCGCCGCTCCGACACACGTGGCTGCGCCATGCAGGGCTCGCGACAACCCCCCCC